ATAACCCAGTACAACACGACCGTACAAAACATGTGGAAGTCGACCGACACTTCATCAAAGAGAAACTAGAAAGGGGTATAATCAAGTTTCCATTTGTAAACTCGGAAAACCAACTTGCTGACATCCTGACGAAGGCCGTATCAAGTAAAGTTTTCCATGACTCACTGGACAAGTTGGGCATGCGTGATATCTTTGCACCAACTTGAGGGGGAGTGTTAGTAAAGTCAAAGACAAAACATAGACATCCCTAAATGGCTTGTCTACCACCTTGTTACTTTTCCTTGTTTTCATATTCCTTGTTTTAGGGATGGAAACTCTCCATGTTTCCCTCCATGTCTTGTGCATTGTTTGTAACTAATAATTACCTTGTATACTTGTATATCTAACCCTTCACTAAGTAAGAAACTCAATTGGCAGATTTGAATTCTCTGCAAAACCTATCTTGTTCTTCTTGTTATACATTCTCAACTCTCTCAATTACACTATATTTGGCACTTATGTCCTTGAAGCTTCACTAATGTTCCTTGATTCTATTCGAAATGGCATTTTGCCTCCAAGGCCTATTAGAACAAGAAGTTCAGTGCATGTCGGATAGAACTACCTCTGAATTGTAAATAGAATTCAGTACATATTGAGACTAATGTATCACAATAACTATATTTTTAATAGTATTATATGAATACTAACTTATTTACACTTTACAGTGTGTTTGGATGAGGAAATTTAAAAATACAAAGGATTTCATAAATGACGGAATTTTAAGCAAATCTGCTATTTTGTGCTGAAGCATGTGATTTGTTCCTTAGGAGGTCTTGCCTTGGTCTGATACTTGTGAACAGCTTGCTGCTTCTCCTTACAGTTTATGCTATTTGCTTGTTCATATTTATCATTTAGTCGCTCATTTGTTGACTGGTCGATTTTGGATCTAAGAAGGGAGGGCTGTTAAACAACAAAATAAAATATAAAAAATTCTTGGTTAGTTTGTGATGTTTTCCTTTTCTTATTTTTTTTCATTGGGCCTGGGTCATATGGACAAAACTAGAAATGTGTTTTAAAGACGATTTCGTAAGTTGTAAATTTTCTGAATTACCCTTCAAACAAACGGCTAAATTGATGGAATGTGACAGTAGGACCTAATTGTAATTACCTGTTGAGTTAAAGGATGTAATTGTCTTAAAAAAAGTTTCGGGACTCAATTAAAACTCGAGGTAAAGTTCAGAGACCTCTACAATTAAAATCCAATTTCTTTAATAATAAACTTTTAACTTCCCTTTTTAATCGACAAAAGCTTTTGTTTTTTGGTCGAAAATTTGGTTGTGTTGGGAGTCTTGGGACTCAAAATCCTACAAGGGAAAAATAGAATATCCTAGAGTGGTTTGAGAGCCCTTGAACACCCTTCCTTTATACACTGGTGTTTAGGGGCAAGTTCTACCCATGAGCTCTTACTAGGGTCAAATGAATACAACATGACTCATTTTTATTTATTTATCTCACTCATCATGTTACAAGGCTTACGTGCATTTTTCGGGGTATATACAGGTTTCTTTTGACATGGTGATACGTGTGCTTGGCTGCGTGACATGGTGCATAGTGAGTTAGCAAAACACTAATAAGATGGACCATAGGAATCTTAGGCTATAGAATGTAGAGGTATACTTGGAATGTTTTTGGATGACTTGACATCACATGTAGGGTCGGTCCTGAGAATTTGAGGGTCCTGTGCGAAACTTAAATAAGGACCCTGTGCGAAACTTAAAGGCCCTCAAATCATCTAAAATAAAAATATTAAAAATATTATTTTTATCGTAAATACTTCATTCAATCATGCATCCTAATTGTGGTATTTTACGAATTATTTCAAACTCACAATCTGTTAACATTATGATTAAGAAGACTTTTTGCACAAAGAGAGGTTCCACACATCTTTGCACATCCATCAGTGCGGGATGGATTCATCCTAAAGATAACAACTGCCATACCACCCTACTTTGCACATCCATCAGTGCGGGATGGATTCATCCTAAAGATAACAACTGCCATACCACCCTACTTTGCACATCCATCAGTGCGGGATGGATTCATCCTAAAGATAACAACTGCCATACCACCCTACTTTGCACATCCATCAGAGCCGGGTTTTATATCCCCTGAATTCCCAATTCATCAAGCATTGCAGATATCGGGTTCCTAATCGTTAAGGTCCCGGTAAAAAGGCTAACACGAGAGAAAACAATGAGAAAATGATGCTTATCGAGTCCTTTGATGCCATGTTGACATGATTCCATATGAAACTAATCAATCATTAACACTGAAGTAGTTCCTATAAACCAACCGTGGTCGCTTAAGTAGGCTAGCTGCATCTCAGAGGACAATTACTCCAAGAGCAGGGGATAAAGGATTGAGAGTCATTCTTATCTTTCGAAAAATGGACAGAAATTAGTTTCTTCCACTCCTTACCCAAAATACCATCCATTGTACCCTAATAGAAGCAATACATGTGCACATTGTACAAAATCAACTTTCAAGGGTAACCAAAGTCGGGAACCATAAACAGAACAATTCGGGCGACGCTACGGCAGGCATTTGTTCTAATAAGAAAGCATATATAAATCTAATTAAAAACAGGTAGGCTGCTGAGTAGAAGAAATAAAAAAGTGAATTTACTTCCTGCAAAATTTGAGTAAGATGTGGGATACAATTTAAACCTTACTTTAAAGACAAAATTTCTAGGGTAGAGGACAGCATTATAGTATTGTGCCAAAAGCGAGCTAATGCATATGAGTGATGCAGCATCAGGTGGCTAAAATAATTACATCCTCGCCCGTTTCAACATATCAGATCAGACATCCTGGATATCTACATTCCCTTGATACACACTTAACAATTCAGGTACTTCGCCAAGATATCTGTTCACAAAAATCTCCAAGAACTGCTTCTCTGCAGGTTTCACCAGAGAACCCAGATTCAAGTTCTCATTTATGAGACCTTTCAACAACAGAACTTTAGCAACGGAGCACCTTGGAATAAGTCTCCTCTCCAAACTGAGACCAAGGGCCACAGGATATTTGGCAATCATGCCTGACGACCATCCCATCTTGTTCACTAAAAGATCCATTGTTTGCATAAGTTTCTTCTCCGAGATAATCATACACCACGGGTTCTTCCTGAAAGTGGAGAGCAAATCATCCTCAGACCAACCCCATGTCTTAAGAACTTCGCGACTTCTATTCAATACCAACTTAGTCTGACCACACAATGCACGGAGGGCATGCACTGAAGTTGATTTTTCCAGATTAAATCCCATTTCCTTAACCTCACTCACAAGTTGACCAAATTTTTCAGGATTTACCATCAAAACGCGAGTTCCACGAGTTAGCAAAACAGAAATGCATTAATATATTTCTATTGTTTCGAATAAAAAATAATGAACAAAAATTATTTCTTTAATTAATTTACTCTGAAGCTTTACACTGGTCGTTCATTTGAAATGTGAAATTGATATTCCACAAAGCTTAGACTACAATTTATTTTAGTAATATGAATAATTAATGCCTTTATTTCAAAAGCGTTGGTATTTTAATGGGAAAATGAATATCAAATTCTATTATTGCTTATGTTGGATATTTATTATAGAAAATTTGGCATAAGTCCAATTTAGATTTTCAATGTGTTTTCCTTATTTACCTTAAAGGGTAAAATCGACACAACAAAAAGGTAATAAATGTCAAAGGACCTACATCTAAAACTAAAAACACGAGGACTAAACCCAATGACAGCTAATCGTTTTGGACCTAGATCTAAGAACCTCATTTCATGACATTTAGAGCCCATATTTTTGGCAATAAAGTTGTTAATATTGTTAGGTGATCATTGCCTTAATGTTCTGAACATTTATGCAATTAATTACATTTTGTTTAAATGTCTTGAATGTGAAGTCTTGATAGCTGCCACATTGAGTTAATTGCCAAGAAGTGTACATTGTGAAACGTTCTGGAGAAAACTGAAATAAAATGATAAATTATATCACTGTAAGCGGCATTTAATTTTGAGTTTTGGTGTAAGTTTTTCAACCCGTAAATCCTCTAAAGTATTATGTGATGATGAACAATTTCTACAGGAAAACTTAAAGCCCTAGCTGATTCTCTGCCTTCAGAAAATATGCAGTTCTCGGCATTCTTAAAAGATCTGAACCATCCAAATAAAATTGCCTGGTATAGGATAAACCATTGCAGCTAGGGTAAGTTTTCTTACCATTTTCACAACTGACGGTCACTGGCTTACTGCCGCTATCCATGGTGGTAGGAAATATTCTGCCAGAAAAACCTCTTCAGTATTCATAGGTACAAATCAAATCAAAGCAAAGCAAAGCAATTATAACTACAAACTTTACATCATTAAAAAATATATAAAAAATAAAAAAATAAAAAAACAGAAAGCCTTTAAAGCTCTATTGGTTTTTTATTTGTTGAGTTGAAAGTTTTACCAGAGATTTTACGAAAAGAAAATACCATAGCTACTGCAATATTAAATTTCTTGAAAAGATTAAATCGTTTTCCAAATGCATTCATTGCATATAGAATCCTATTGACTATTCCTGTTACTGTTGCATCTGTAGAAAAAAAAATTCAAAATTAAAATTGTTAAAATCATACTTGCGATCAACTATGTCGCAAGAAAGATTAAACGGACTAGCTTTGATTTCAATTGAAAGTGAACTTCTAGAAAAACTTGATTATGAACATTTGATGATGATTACTCTTCTAAAAATTCAAGAAGATCAATTTTCAGACATTAGTATTGTACTAGCTGTGTTTTTTTTTCTTTTAGGGAAAAAGCTCTCGTAATAGTTTTAATTCTTCAAATAAAGACAGCAAATACAATGTGAATGATTTTTGGATAGTAAGGTATGTTTTTGTTGTTGCTTTTGTGTTTAATTATCTAATTTGTTAATGACATTTGTGTGCAACTACTCTTTAATTTGTGATTGCCAATTTTTTTTTCCTATTAAACACAAATTGCTTATTGGAGGCAGCAAGGGACCTTATAGGGGCACAATGAGCTTATTTTTATACCAAACATTTAACTTTATCAAATGGAAACATTTATATTTTTATGAATTTGATTTCTGATTGTCATTATATATTTATTGATGGTGACTTTTAGTTATAAAAAATTGTTTATGACATTAAGTTATTGCAAATTTTTATTGATAGTATTTTCATATTAGATTATGTGAGGCCCCAATTTAAGTTTCGCACAGGGCCCTCAAAATCTCAGGAACGGCCCTGCTAGAGATACCTTAATGCTTATAGAATTAGGTAATATTAATCCTTATCAAAGTTGGACTCCTTAAGCTTGTGAGTATTTCTAGAACATTTTTATTAGGCTGCCATATCTGATACTGATAGGAATAGACTTTCTGATAAACCATGACTTCTATGGGCCTCCGATTTTTGGGGCCTCAAAATTTTTATAAATATTACAGGAGCCCAAACTTTAAAAATAAATAAATAATTACACATATTCCTATTTCCAACTTCTAAAGCGATCTTTCCTATTTCCAACACACTTCCTCTTTTCCCATAAAAAAAAACTTTTCTTGAGAGTATAAGAGTTATTATATTGTTAGGATTGTTGAAGTTGAAACAAAGAACTATTTTTTATTTGTTATATGTGACACCATACATCTTTGAAGTTATATCTGTTAAGTCTGAGATTTTGAATTTTGGTGTAAGGTTTTCAACCCGTAAATCCTCTAAAGTATTTTGGCATATCTTACGAATTTAAAATTAAATATAAATTTAGTATAATCTTCATATATTTTGCAAATTCCCTTAAATTTGTGGGGGTTGAGTTTTCCTTAACTATGTAGGTATTTGTTGTAATTTTTGTGGGTATTTCAAATACAAAATTAAAATCAATTTTTTTATATAGATTTTGAGTGGTTTTAATTACCTCTTTAAAACTAAAGTTATGTTGTATACTTATTATAAAAGTTTTGCATTCTTAATTTATTTTATTTTAAAAACAGTGTAGACAATTTGTGGAAGTTGAACTTTTCTAAATGGGAACTTTATTGCTGTAATTTTATTTGTTACTATCATTAAGCAATTTTTGCTTTTATGCTGGAAAATATTAGATTCATTTATGTAGGCTTTCCTTTTCTCTTTCCCAAAATTTTGAGTGTGTTTTCAATTTCTTTATGCTCTCGTGGGAAAGATTCATTACATTCATTTAGTGACATAATAATTTTATATTTCCTTGGCAAACATGTTGTGTCCGTGTGAAATTTGTTTATATTATAAAATTTTATTATGAGACTAATTTGTCTTCAATTTTGATATGAAAATGTGTGCAACTAATGATGATTTTGGTATAAAATTTTGGTAGAGACTTCTTATTGTCTTATAGGTTCCTATTGAGAATCAAGAAGATACAATTTCAACCTGGATATGCAATCATGATTTCAGCCACTTTGAGTGCACAAAAGGGAGTAAGAGTATCCTGAAATACTCAGTGTTTATAGTTAAATTTATTTAAAGAATTAATTGTTATATTGTTGTTCATAAGTGGTAGCAGGTGTACTCAAAGTTTCAGGACTTGAGAGGTACTCTTGATCATAAGATTTAATGTATGATGTTTTCTGTTATACTTAAATGTATACCAATCCGTATCTAATTTTCGATTATACTGAGGTGAAATCCACTAATCGTTTGTGTGCAAGATTGTGTAGGAAATATTTCCAATAACATGCAGGTTTAGAGCGCGCTAAAACAGAGAACAAAGATATGACCTACATTATATATGCCTTGTGAAGGCTAGTCTTGATATGCATGCCTCGTGGAGGAGGCTATTAATGCAAAATGTCGAGGGGGATGTGCATAGCCCATAAGGGAGTCACCTAGGGAGGTAACCCAACTTCTGTGATTGAAGATCCCATGAAGAAAGTTCAATGTGGTAGAAACAATCCATACTGCGTGACTCATATAGCACTGATAAAATTATGGAGATATCCTTGAGATATTCTTCTGCTCATCCCTAAGGCAAAAGTGCCATTTTATGTGACGTTAGGAAGGGATTTATCCCAGAATGAGTTTCGAGGCGAGCAAACTCCCGCATGGTGCATGTCACATGTACTCTTGGAGAACTCACCTAAGTGAGAGACTTCGTGAGGCCGCAACTATGAGAATTCGGCTATTCTCTAGTAACTCTCATGAGAATCAAGATGAGCGCATGGCCATAAATAGCGCTACCCCGCATCCAAGTCTCAACTAATACTATGTGTGGGATATGTTGAAGTTAATTTGGTCAAAGGTGCCGAGTTCAATACTGTGTACACTCAGGTTCCTCAAATGGAGACTATCATCACTAAGTGAAGGTTCAAGCCCAGAAGGCACCTACACCTATTACATAGTATTATATTGCCATATATATTATATATTTTTCACTGTTTTTTTTGTCACGGTAAAATTTAAAAAACCTTGTGGGGGATTGTTGGAATTTTAAAAGGTTTTAAAAATTTAACCGTTTTATTTATTTATTTATTTTGGCTATTTTATTTTATTTATTGTGGGGGTTATAAATATTTAATATTCAGGTTTTATTTCTGGTTGGTGAATGCCTTAATTTTTTGGTTGGTGAAGGTTACATGTTTTTGGATGCCTATAAAAGGCCACTCCTCGTTCACATTTGATACACACGCAGTAAACCATTAGAATATCACATACCACAATCACCACCATAAACTAATTCTCTCATTTTCTACTTTTATATATATATTCTCTATTTTATATTATTATTTTGGCAATGGTTATGTGACTTGGATACCCATATCCGTCTATGAACGTGCTTATATTGGATCTTGAGTTTGTGTATAAAGGGTCGTATCTTGGAGTCTTGTAGACCATTAGTACCTGCACGTAGGGAGACTACAAAGGCTTTAGGACAACGTCTTTGACGTGCTTCACCGTACCAAACTCACCTTCTTATTTATTATTTATTTTACTTTTACTTACCTATTATTTTGTTTTTCTTCTATTTCATTATACCTTAAAAGCTTTCCAATTTATTTATATGTTATTTATAATATAATATTTTTGTAGTTGGCTTTACGGAAAAAGAAAACTATATTTTTTATAACAATGGCTAGTGTACTCAAAAGATGTGGACAAAGTATATTGTTTTTGTTGTAAGTTGTTTAAATCTGTGAAAATTAGAAGTTTGTTGGCAAATGAAGGGCTTAATGACTGGAAACGTTTAAGTAAGAGGCTTAAACAACATGAAACTAGTAGTGAGAGTATCAATAACATGAGAATTTGGATTGACATGCAAATTAGATTTAAAAATAATGAAACCATTGATAAAGAGCTACAAGTGCAAATTAA